AGGACTACCCCTCCCCCGCATGCTTTGGTCGCGGAGGAGCCGTCAGTGTAGAGGGTCCACCAGTCGTCCGAGGTAGCCGAGGGCTCCCCGTCCGTGGCTGCCCTTGCGGTACATTCCGTCACAAAGTCCTCCAGGGCTTGGCCCTTGATGGCAGGCCTTGGACGGATGTCAATGTTGTACTGGCTCAAGAAGATAGCCCATTTCACCATGCAGGAGGAGCTGGTGGGGCTCCTCATGAGGGCGTCGAGGGGTTGATGGGTGAGGACCTGAACCGGGTGAGCCTGAAAGTAGTGGCCCAACTTCTTGACAGTCCAAACGATGGCTAACACCGTTTTTTCCACAGGGGAGTACCTGAGCTCGGCCTCCCTTAGGGTCTTGCTAACGTAGAAGATGGCATGTTGGATGCCGTCTTCCTCCCGGATGAGCACAGAGCTGATGGCCGCCGGGCTAACCCCGAGGTAGAGGTAGAGGGTCTCCCCTACCTTGGGTTTGGAGAGCACAGGAGGTGAAGATAGATATCGTTTGAGCTCGTCGAAAGCCCCCTGGCATTCTGGAGTCCATAGAAAGCCGGCCGTCTTCCTCATGATGTGGAAGAAGGGTAGAGACTTCTCCGCTGACTTAGATAGAAAGCGGTTGAGGGCTGCCAGGCGGCCCGTCAACCGTTGAACTTCCTTCACATTGCGTGGGGGCTCCATATTGATGATGGCCTGGATCTTCTCGGGATTGGCCTCAATACCCCTTCGGCTCACCATGTAGCCCAAGAATTTGCCCCCTTGGACGCCGAAGGTGCACTTCTTGGGGTTTAGCCGGAGGTTGAATTTTTGCATGATGGCGAAGATTTCCCGGAGGTCGTCAGCATGGCTGGAAGATTGTTTGCTCTTGACGATCATGTCGTCAACATAGGCCTCCATGGTGCGCCCTAGGACGGCTTGAAAGACCCGGGCCACCATCCGGGTGTAAGTGGCCCCCGAGTTCTTTAGGCCGAAGGCCATCACTAGGTAGCAGAAGATGCCCTCGGGAGTCATGAAGGCAGTTTTTTCGGCGTCCTCCTCGTGCATGAAAATTTGATGGTACCCTCGGAAGGCATCGAGGAAGGACATGATCTCACACCCTGCGGTCTCATCCACCAATTGATCAATATTTGGTAGAGGGAATGGATCCATAGGGCATGCTTTGTTGAGATCGGTGTAGTCCACGCACATGCGGAAGGTAGGGGGCTTCTGTGCGAGGACTACATTCGCCAGCCATGAGGGATATTTCACCTCCTTGATGTGCTTAATGGAAAGGAGCATGGCGACCTCCTTCTTCACAAATTCCCTTCTCTCGGCGGAGAGGGGTCTTCTTCGTTGTTGCACTGCCTTCGCCGAAGGGTCCACCGAGAGGCGGTGGGTGATGACCCTTCGGCTGATTCCCGGCATGTCCTCCGGCCCCCATGCAAAGACAGTGGAGTAGGCGCGGAGGGCGTCGGTGATACCGGTCTTCAAATCTTCAGGGAGCTGGGCTCCAATCTTCACGACTCTCTCCGGCTGGGCCGGATCGAGCGCAAAGTCTTCTACGTCCTCGGCCGGTTCAGCCCTCGGCCTTCTTTCCTCTTGGTCGACGGCTCCGGTGATGGTGTCAACACGGAATTCTGTCTTGCTTACCTTCTTAGTGACCTGAAGATAGCAGGCGCGGGCAATTTTCTGGTTCCCCCGGGAGTAGCCAATTCCACCCTCAGCGGGGAACTTGAGGCAGAGATGCCTCATGGAGATGATGGCTTCGAGGTCCTCGAGGGCTGGCCGGCCGAGGATGATGTTGTGGGCGCAGTCAATGTTGACGACGACGAACTCCACCTCGAGCTGGGCTCTATGGAGCCCGTCGCCGAAGATCACCGGGAGGGTTATTACCCCCTCGGAATCAATAGTGTCGCTGGTGAAGCCGGCAAGAGGGGTCTTAATGGGCCGAAGGGACCCCCTCTCCAGATGCAGCTCTCTGAAGGTGCTGAGGTACATTACATTGACGGAGCTGCCCGTGTCAACGTAAGTTCGGTGAATGATGGTGTCGTTTATCTCTGTCCGAATCACCAAGGCATCCCTGTGAGGAGAAGAAGTAGGAGTTAGATCTGCGCTGGTGAAGGTGATGGGTTCCTCCCTCAACCGCTTTACCGGGGGCATATGAGTGACTTCCCCTACGTAAAGCGATTGAGCCCACTTCTTTCGATGGGTGGTGGAATCGCCCCCTGTGTTGCCACCGGTGATCATGAGGATGTGGCGTTTCTTCTCCTGGTTTCCGATCTCCCTCTTCTTGCCGAGGGGGATGGTGTTCGGATTTACCCAGGCATTTACCTTCGTATGGTGCCCTCGGGGAGGTCCCTGATGAGAAGGTCCCTCCTGCCGAGGGCTCTGGACAAACTGGGACAGGTGCCCTGCCTGTATTAATCTCTCGATGGCCGTCTTCAGCTGATGGCAGTCATCGGTCCTGTGCCCCTGGTGCCGATGGAAGCGACAGTAGGGGAACTGAGGGTTGATAGCGTGTACCTCCGGGGGTGCGCGAGAGTCGCGCTCAACGAGGCCCCTCTCCTCGGCAAAATCGAGGATGATGCTGACGGGGCGCGTCAATGGTGTCCGAGGGCGGTCCAGGAGAATGGGCTGGGCCCAAGTCTTAGGGTTGCTCTTATAACCTCCCCCGGGCTTGGCTTGGCCTTGCCGAGGGCGGTCATCGGAGGGCCCTGAAGCCTTGGGATGGTGAGGAGGAGCCCCTGGCCCTCGGTTATGTTTGTTGTCAGCCCTCGGGGGTTGCTGATCTGGATGCTGGTGATACTTCTCCACCTCCTCGGCCTCAGCATATCGGTCCCCCCGCTGCAAAGCCCTTATGTAATCGCGGGGGGGTTCAATGATGAGGCTCCTTGAAAAGTTGCCGGTGCGGAGGACGGTTTGTAGGAGGGCCAGGAGGGTCCCGTCATCAGCACCGTCGACCTTGTCGGCCTCCGTCCTCCAGCGCTCCAGGAAATCCCGAAGGGTCTCATCCTTCTTCTGGCGTATTGTTAGGAGGTGGGAGAAGTGCTTCCTTGTGCGACGCCTCCCGGCGAATTGTGTCAAGAATCGTTGGGCGAGTTCTTGCCATGAATCAATGCAGCCCTCGGGCAGCCTGTTAAACCATTCGTATGCCGGGCCCTCTAAGGTGGAGAGGAACCATCGACACAAATATTCGTCCGACGCCCCCACCATCATCATGCTGTTCTGGTACTTGCTGTAATGTTCCTGGGGGTCCGTTTTTCCGTTGTAGGGCTGTATGTGTTGCCCTCGGTTATTTTTCCGGGATCCGGGCCGCCAATACCCTTGGGGTAAATGGCGTCCGAGTCCGGAGCTGGATGACGGGTTCCCCGGAGCCCTCGGCCACCCTCTTCTGTAACTCCTCCTATTTGGCCATCATGGCCTCGTATTTGAGATCTGAATGAGGGATGGAGGTGGTGGCGTGAGCTTTGTTGGACTCCATCTCGTCAAGCCGGCGTTGGAGGGCCGCAATAATCTCGTCCCGGGGATCCTTCGGGAGGGTCTCCGCCCCCTGCGAACGAACCCGGGCCGAGTGGGCCTGGTTGATTTGGTGCCGAGCATCATCGGCATGAAGGGGTGCCTTGCCTTTGTCCCGAGGGGGACGCTCCTCGTCTGCCCTCGAAACAGATCCCCCGCTCTCCTGGGGCCTTTGGAATGCTTTCCCCCCGAGGCGGTCTTGGACCCCTCGGCGGTCTGGCCCTCCTCCGAGCCGGTTGAGGGCGGAAGTACGGGGTCTTTCCCTGTTGTCATTATGGCGGTCCCGGGACTGAACTTCCTAGGAGGACGTGTCTTGGGCCACCACCCCTTCGTCGTTTCTCACCCGAGGGGTGGGATTCCCAGAGAGGGAAGTATGATATTTTCCCCGATCTGAGGGTGAGCTGGAGCCAGGGTGCCGAAGGCACCCGGGTTCTGGGTGAGCGTCTGGATGAAGGCGGAGAGCGCCGATTGCACGTCGATGGTGAGAACCGGAGGGCTGACTTGGTCATCGCTCCGGTTTTTCTTCTTGGCCTCGATGCCGAAGCGGGCATCGGGGGCATTTTGTTGGATCTGAAGGCGTAGGTCGACAGCCGCCTGTTCCAGTCCAGCGATGACACCGCCCTCGGGAGCCCTGTGAGAGGCTTCGGGGGCGTTGACGTCGCCGAGGGCCAGGTTCTTGTCTTCTACGTTCTTTGAGTTGGCACGTGTTGTCCTCACCATTTTGATAGAGGGCTAGTGTTTTGTGTTTGGTCGAGGGGAGGGTTTCTTACTCGATTGTTCAACCTCTCAACGAGAGCACCAAATGATGGATAGTCTACCCGGGGGTATATATCCGAAGGGTTATTACGGGGAGTAACTTAGAGAGAAGTCAGAGCTTAATAAATAAAAGTAGAGAGAGAGTGTATTCAGTATGAATGCCGTTTTCAGCGTGGTTACAAATGGGGAAATGGGGTGCTATTTATAGTAGCAATAAATGCCGGGCAGGGACACGTGTCAAGCGCTCATTGGCCGAGGGGTCACCTCAACTGGTTGGCGCTGGCAGCCGCATGTGGCCGCATTTAATGCGGCTGTTGGACGGGACGTCTGTGCGGGGTACGGTGATCTGTACGCATGTGAGGCGGATATCTTGTCGAGTGAGATGCCTTCGGCTATAGAGCAGTAGCTGAGGGCTCTTCCACCCGATGGCACCCTGGTGCCGAGGGCTCACAGTGCCGAGGGCTACTGTTTTCGCCGTTTTCTCCCAGTTTCTTAATTTGCTTGAGAAACCCGTTTTGTGAGAATTTAGAGCCTTCGGCCAGGGGGCCGAAGGCACCCCTGGCGCGTAGTGCGGGCTGCTTGGTACTCTGGGCGCTGTGATTTGGGCCTGCTGGGCCTCCTGGGCCTGTTGGGCCTTCGCTGGAGTAGTAGGAGTCTGTGGGCCGGGGGTTCCCGGGCCATATACTCCATCATGAGTGTACATCCAATTTACATCATTCTAGGTTTCATGTTTCCAGCAGATTATGTAGAATAATTCTTTGATGATTCATCTCCGGAATAAGGACCAAAATATTACTTCCAGATTTTAAGTGGACAATAATATGAGTGATTTGTGTGTGGACAAAAATGTGACAACCCGTATTTTGCAACCCTATCCCCATCCGCGCATCTTCTTCTTCCGTAAATTTGCAAGGCTATCTCAAGCTTCTTCTTCCTCCATGTGCCTTCTCTGCTACATAGCAATCAATTCAATGACCAGACCTCTTCTCCGCCACCGCCGCTCTCTTGTTTCCGCCGCCGCAATTCTTATTCTTCTCATTTCTACTTCGCCTCTGCAATCTTCTCTGCCCTCAATCTTCCATGGCTGCACCTTCGATAGATCTGTCTTCCTCGATGCGGTGCCGCCGATGTTGGTGTCGGCTTCGTCACCCTTGATGGACAACCTCTCCAATTCGAGGTAGCGGGTGCTGGATCCATCATCCTCGATGCCGGAGACATTGATACGGATCATGACGGCGGAGATGTCACTACAGATATGTCACTGTGTCCGGTGATGGCGGATATGTCACTGTCGAGATTAGCTGCGAAAGTTTCACTACGAACATGTCACTATGCATTAGTCACATTTTTGTTCAAATATAAATGTGATAACTTTTTTGAAAATGAGCTTTAGTTTAGTAATATTAAGGGGAAAACCCCTTCATCTCTTAGCCAACTAATATAAATAGAGTGCTCAACCGAAATTTTGAAGTAATTTAGAGGTTTTATCTATATCTATCCCATAAATTTGTTTTCTTGTTTTGGATTATTGGATATTAGTTCAGTTTATTCGTGTTTTGGAGTTGGAAAGAGAATTAAATAACTACAGATCAATTCGATTTTTTACATTCAGTTTTGTAAAGCACTGCGTTACTGCTTATTGTATTTGTAGGTCGCCATATGGATCTTTTATCTAAAGCATACTCTGGTTCATTTGAGGAAGACGATGATGTCCATGTCGAAGCTGAACGCAACGCACTCAGATGGAATCCTCAGAAACGGGCCAAATTCGAACCATCTAATCGAGGGTTTAAGTCCGTGCCGGTGGTTCACCCGAATGACGCCTCAAACCCCCCATCGGAGAGCCCTCTACCCGGCAGGTACATCTCCAAGCGAGAGAGAAGCGCACTGGTTTCCGCTTCGAGGGATTCCAGCCCCAACCAGCCTCCCTCTCAATTTTCACCAGGTATTAGCCTGTTATCACTTTTTTGAGAATCTCATAAAAGAATATGACAAAAAGGGTAAGGAATTGATAAAGTTCATAAACTATCAACTATCAGGTCTCATCCAGCTACCAACCATCTAATAACGGAAAAAAATAGATTAATTTTATTCCATCAATACATTACTCGTATTACACATTTACCTTTGAGGTATCTAGTCTTTTCACATGTTTCAGCTATCATTTCATATCATTTTGCCATACACGTTTAGTAATCTCATCTCGCATTCCATGATCATCCACTCAACTTTCGTCGTCATCTTTATTCTTTAGTCTACAATTTTGTATAGTTGTTCCAAACATGCTTTTAATCATGAGGTATGGTTACTTCTTTTTCCCCAAGCTAATTGGCAAATGAAGAAAAGAACAAGATTTTCTTAATCCATCCAAATGGACATTATTTTGTTAATTCAAATGTCGTAAGTTCAAATCTGGCTTGTAATGTGAAGCTCAAATAATGAACCAAGTATGTGATTTCAACTAATAGGATGTTTACTTTGGATAAGAGTCTAAGAAGTGATATGGTTGGATTGATTAATTTAATAAGATTATCAATCCAAAATGGCTAGTTACTGAAAAAAGTGAAAAATGTCAAGCTTCTGGCAGTACTTATACAAATAACACTAACTTGTCCATTTAAAGATTTCTGCAGCAGGGCTTATCATGTTTGTACATTATTTGAAAAAAGTTGAGTTAGCAAATTCCATGATTCGAACATACCATTTGTAAAATGACAACAGTTTTAACTGAAACTGACAGGAGAATGTTTTGTACTATATGGTGCATTATGACTCAACTATGGATTCCTGACTCAATTTTCATTTAAACTACTCCGTATGTTATTTAAACACCCAGGATAACTCCTCTACGGAACTAACTGATATTGGCGACCGGTGTTATTTTAGTTAAATCATTTAAACTATGGCATTTTGCGTAATATTTTCAAGTAAATGCTAAATTTGTTAAAACTAAATGTTTGGGCTGGAAAATTAGTGCTCATCAAAGGGTAGTTTTATTTCCAAAAACTTGATATGTACACCCTACACTTTGATAACAGCTATTTTATGGAGGCCATTTCATAAAAATTCATAGGCTTTTTAAATTAAAAAAAGCATCACTTAAATTGTAAGTTTAAAAAAATAATATCACTTTAATTAGCAAAAGAATATTTGATCCAACTCATGATATTCAAAAGACATGAAAGATATACTTAATAAAGCTGTCTATATCAGAAAACCTGTTTATATGAGGCTGCATACTATTCTATGTGAAAGAATCAAATCTAATGTCTTTTACTTCTTGAAGATTGTTGGTGTCGATTATTTGGTTGTTATATTTTTCTCTATCAACCTTTTTCCGGTAGCCTAACTTGAAATGCGAATTCTTTCCAGTGATGGGACCTATTTCTGCTGTAGATCTTCCTCAAAATATTTTATCTGCATTGAAGCATCAATCTAACATAAATAAGCGCTCTGTCCAAATGCCTGAGAGACTTACAGTAGCTCTTGATGGACACTCAAGATCAGTTAATACTGTGCAGTGGTCAAGAAGTCATTGTAAGTATTCCATACATAATTAACTTTATGCAAACTTTCTCTCTAACTTTTCCCTTTAATGTCATCTTTGTTTGGTATGAAGTTTGTGTTAAAAAACTGTGGATTGCATATAAATGTAATGGATAACTTGGATAACACTATACGTGAACTGTTACGATCGATCTGTTGCTTTGTTCTGTGTATCATTTTCTAATTAGATAGAGTTGATTTTTGGTATCAATGGCCCAATGATTAGCTTAAAATGTGAAAGTTCAAAACTCCAAAAGAGAAACATTGGTGGTCTTTTTGCTTGATGGTCCAATTAGGTATGTCTTATGTGCTCATGTGCCATTTCAAACAAAGCGAAAGGTGGGAAGATGCTTTTCCAGGATTTGAAATGCGAGTTTATGGTCACTGTTATCTTTGAATGAATCCTATTGTCAAAATTAATTGAGTTATGGTTATAACCCCAACATATTCTGCACACATGGATCTCTCATTCATATCAATTCAAGGCCTGAATACAATACTATGTTAAATGCTAAACTAAGCAAAATGATAAAATGGAATTACACACTCGCTTTCAAAGAGAGAATAGTGCTTGAATTTCAAGCACTATTCTCTCTTTGAAAGCGAGTGTGTAATTCCATTTTATCATTTTGCTTAGTTTAGCATTTAACATAGTATTGTATTCAGGCTCTTGTATTTTTACTTACTAAGCTTATCAAGAATGATGATGTTTATTACACTATTTCCTGGTTTATGACTAAAGTGTTCAGCCTTCAGCTCACCTTCTTGCATCTGCTGGCATGGATCAAACTGTTTGCATATGGAGTGTTTGGAGTAAAGGTAATAAGAAAGTGCGCGTATTCAATCATCACACTGCTGCTGTAAAAGATGTGAAGTGGTCACATAATGGTCTCTCGGTGCTCTCATGTGGATATGACTGCTCTTCGAGGCTAACTGATGTTGAAAAAGGAGTTGAAACTCATATATTCAAGGAGGACCAAGTTGTAGGAGTGGTAAAATTTCATCCGTACAATTTCAACCTCTTCATGTCTGGTGGGTCTAGAGGTGGCCTTAAGTTGTGGGATGTTAGAACCGGAAAGGTTGTCCATCAATATAAGAGGAATCTTGGTCCAATACTTGATGTAGAATTCACAATTGATGCCAAGCAGATGATCTCTTCAAGTGATGTTTCTGGAAGCAATATCAGTGAAAACTCAATAATCATTTGGGATATTTCTCGGGAAATTCCCTTATCTAACCAGGTATTTATTAGGCAGTGTTACCTTCAGTCATTTATTGGTTCATATTGATATCATCATTAAGTACATTTATGCTATGTTTGGATCGCAGAAAATTGTTGGGAAAGGGGCAAAATGCTTAGGAAATCACTTTTTTTAATTGTTGTTTTTAGCTTAGGAAAATCAAATATATGAAAGCTTTTAATTTTTTGCATACATTTAGATTTCAATTCTCAAAGTATTTATATAATAGAAATAAATAAATAAAATGAGTTTGAGAAAATATCTACATTGATATTTGGAGTTTGAACCATTTCTTTTCCTCCCTAGCATTTCTAGGTTTCAAGTAGACCATTAGGATAATGGGAAACCAAGATCCATGAATGCTTTGAGTTACTGTTCAAATATTATAATCTTGATGCAAGTATGCAGCATCGTTTGTACTCTCCACATAATATAATATACTAATAATGCTAAGTTTCTCGGAGGCATTTCTTCCAGGTCTACAGTGAAGCCTATACTTGTCCCTCTATACGATGTCACCCTTCTGATGCCTACTTTATTGCACAATCAAATGGAAACTACATAGCAATCTTCTCTGCCTCCCCTCCCTTCAGACTTGATAAATACAAAAGGTATGAAAGCCATAGTGTGACCGGATTCCCCATCAAATGCAATTTCAACTTGGATGGGACTATCATTGTAAGTGGGTCCTCAGACGGACATATCTACTTTTACAATTCCAAATCAGGTCACCTGAACAAAAAGATCAAGGCATATGATGAAGCTTGCGTAGATGCCGTCTTCCATCCTGTGATGCCAAACGTTGTTGCTTCTTGCAGCTGGAATGGAGAAGTTTCTGTTTTTGATTGAGATGGTAAATTTGTTTTCAGATATTGCCATTTTGGTAAAAAGCTGAACTCTCCAGAAAGGCAAGTATTGGTCGTGTAAATTTATGTGATAAATGCCTGTTGTTGAGATGGAGATAGATCCTGACAGCAATGTTGCTGGAGCATGTAATCTGGACAAGCTAAAGCTATAGATGTCAAATTGGTTATACTTGTTAATTGTTATACGGAGTATATTTTATTGAATGTGGTTATACTTGTTATATAAAACTTGCAACTTGATTCGGGAAAGAAATGTGAAAAAACTAAAGAATAAACTGGCAAATAGACAACCTTTGCAAGTATAGACCAAAGACAGTAGCAAGGTTTCATAAATTAAGTCCGTATATACAGGGATTTCAAATAGGACTTGAACGTACTCATTTCCTCTCGCAATTAAAGCTTTCACTTTTAATAGTGTATATACTAGCTATCATAAAAATACGAGTATTGGGATTTGGGGGTGTTTGGAAAATGATGTTTCAGTAAAAAAAATAGTGATTTGACCTCTTTTAGCGTTTTCAATGAGTTAAAATGTTGTTTGGTAAAATAGTTGTTTTGGCGTAGCGTTTTTAGACGCAACTGTTGAAATGGAAATACTGCAAATAAGAGAGTTTTGAGTTTAACGTTTTGGTATATGGTGTTTTCCACTAATTGTTATGGCCAAACATTTAAATTACCAAACTTTTTATGTCAACCCGTCAACTTATTCTGTTAGTCAAACTCATTGATTGAATCCGCTATTGACAATTTGTTAACATAATCAACCAGTCGTTAACAGCTAACCGCTAAATGACAAACACACTCATTATATATAGTAGCCAAGTGTTGTTGATTTTCGATTCCCTCTACTTTGGTGTTCTGTGTTCATTAAATAAGGGGTTCTCCATATTCTATGCGCTGGACAGTTTCGCCGCCCTAGTCCTCTACGAGGAACCTCCCCAACATCTTTATCTCTTCCGCTGCTACATGCTCAGTGCAACATCTGAGCTACTACGATAGGTCTTCAGCGGCCATTTTTTCATCTAGTTAGGATTTTAGTTTCTCCGCCAATCTTTTTCGATTGGGCGGCTCTTTGGTTTGGGATTTACTCTTGCGACGAGTTTCTTGGTGCGAACAAGAAGTAGAGACAACAATAGCGAGAGGATGACATCATGAGTGAAAGTCATGGACGAAGGTTGAGGTTAAAGGTTGGAGCAAATCCGGATTCAAGGTAATTTGTGGCGAAAGTGGAGGTTTGACAGAGAATACGATGAATAAGAGGCAGAGTGAGGAAAAAGGTACAGTAATGCTGGCTCGACCCCCTCTTGAACCGCCGCCATGGAGTGCTGGAGAATTTAGGATTTGGAATAAAACGAGTGAACTCTGTTTTAATTCCTTTTTATTTTGTTTGTGTTTCTATTTCGAACTGCATGTTATTTTGGTTGTGTTTTTATTTCCGGTTGTAGTTCTTTTGATAGACAGAGTTTCGGTTCCGGTCATTTTAGGCTTAATTTTGCCCGTTTCAGGTTTAGCGAGTTATGTTGCTTTGAATGAGGTGGCTGACTCTAAGTCTATTCCTAGGGCTCATGATTGGATTTGTAAATCTGTCTGAAAGTTGTCTTATACAGGTTCTCATTTTTAATATAAAAGCCGCTATTTTACGATAAAAAAAGTTCTATAAATAAGGATTCTAATGGTTTGTATTTTGGAAACTTTTTCTTCTTTAACAATTACAGTTTCATTTGAGGATGTTGAGTATGAACTTAATTGCTAAACGGCTCTAGGGAGTACGGGTTTTACTTAATAAAGACTACTGAGAGAGGTGTTATTGGATCATATATTCATGCTACACTCTTGCTATCGAGAGTTACACAAATTTTGCTGTTTAGGACGTGTTCTTTTCTTTAGATTTAACAAGTTTTGTGTGAGACCACATCATATTTTAATAAATGGATCAATTAAAATTTAGTTGGATTGGAAGATGTGATATCTAATCAAATCAAGTTAGACTTGATGTCATACCTAAACAAAACAAACAAATTAAACTAAGAAAATAAGAAACCCCTACGTAATACATGACTGACCTGAAAATGTGTATTCATACGATATTGGTTGTGAACAAGATGTTGCTTATTTATCACAATTTCAATTCCATTACGCATCTTGCCTAAAAGAAATGTCATTTTGGTACAATGTTAGGTTCTTGTTGGCAATTTTAACCAATCATTGCGACTTGCGAGGCAAGAGTTAAATGAATTCCCCACACATTTAGTTCTATAATCTATAAAAATATTAACCGTAGTCCAGTATACTTGATCAATCGCAATTGTATAAGCAAGCACTAACAATCTTTCATAATAGTTAATACTAAAACCTAAGATTCCTCTTTTCACCATGTAGAATATCGAACATTCAAACTTATCAATCTTTGATTTATAAAAAGCAACAATCACCTTCCTCACGTTCGCATTTGATAATTTAACTGTTTGGCTATAAAACTATGTAGAAAATGTCATATTTCAAAACGCTGACCCAAAACTCTCATATTTGCAGTGTTGCCGTCCAAAGACACTATGGCCGAACAACTAAGTATTTACGAAACAACTTTTTTACTTATTGAAAACGTTAAAACGGATCAAACTGTCATTTTTTTTACTGAAAAGCCATTTTCCAAACACCCCCTTTATCTTCTTTTTCATACTTTTCACCACTCTTACTTTTTTTTACCTTATTCAATTCATCATCCCTACTACTGTTCCTTTAAATATTGATTCAAATCCTATTGTAGCAAATATTTCAATACATAGGGAGTATGAAAAAATGTATTACGTGAATGTTAGATAAATATAAGTTTCTCCCTTTTAGCTTATGTACTATTGATAAGGTATCTAAAATCTTCTAATTGTATCTTTGATACAAACACTTTTAAAAGCTTTTTAGAAATAAGTGATCTTTGTTAGAAGCTACACTCAGTAGGTTTTCATAAACCATTTGTTATCATTCATCATTAATTAGGGTATGTGTGACACAATTATCTAAAAAGATAATTTTATAAACGTTTTAATAACTATTACTACGTAGCTTTTAGTTTCTTAATAGGTTAAAAAATAAAGATTATAGTTGTCTGACACAAAACTGACTGACTTAATTGTACTTGATATAATAAATTGTTGTGATTAATTAATAATAAAAATTATACTACATATAATACAGCTTCTCGAGAAGATGTTGAGTAAACCAATAAATGAGTGAAGAATAAATCAAAGTGTCGACCAATCAATATCTTCCAGCAGTTGATAAAGAATAAGTTGATGTTTCATTCCCTAATACTCGTATTGTTATTGAATATATTTATAGGTGTCGTGCAGTTATTGGATATAGAAAGTGAATATATACTTGAAATTATAATACTCCATATCACATATTTTCTCCCTCTCATTTCCGTCTTATTTTATTTATCCTAATTTCCATCTTGAATTATCCGATGATAAGTATCACGATTTTTAGATAAAATGTTTAATTTATAATATTTCACTTTATTGTACTCAAATCTCAACAATAATTTTTATTATTCGATTATTTTATTAATAAGTGTGTCAACTAAAATAGAACATCACACATACTTGATACTCCTTTCGTCATTTGAAACTTTGCCAACTTTCCTTTTTTGAATGTTCCACTAACTTTGTCAATTTCCCTTTTAATTAAAGAATTTGTGGTTCCAGTTAATTCTATTTCTTCTGCACAAACCTCAATCACACAGTTTTTACTTTATTAATTCCCGTGGCGATAAAACTTTGCAAAATTAGAAGGGACGGAAGGAATATCTTACCATCTTTATAGAGTATATGAAACGAGGTAGTAGTTGAAACGCGTAGCTCTCATCCTACCATCATTTTTATCTTTATTTATACTCCGTCCGTCCACAGTAGTAACTCCACCTAACCACCCCCAATTCCGTAAAAAATGCAGGCCATTTAAAAAAGATTTCATCTTTTTCATCGGAGAAACAAGAAACTTCGATTCCTTATACATCATACAACTAGAGATGGATCCATCAAGAACAAAGACAGAGATTCTGGATCCAACGCTACACGCAGTGGGATTCGAGATAGGGGAGATAACGCCGCACAAGGTGACCGGCCGGCTTCCGGTGACGGCGAAGTGCTGCCAGCCGTTCAAGGTGTTGCACGGAGGAGTATCGGCATTGATAGCGGAGGCTCTGGCCAGCATGGGCGCCCACATGGCGTCGGGGTTCAGGAGAGTCGCCGGAGTCCAGCTCAGCATCAACCATCTGAAGAGTGCACAAATGGGGGACCTCGTCTTCGCCGAGGCAACGCCGGTCAACGTCGGAAAAACCCTTCAGGTCTGGGAAGTGAGGCTTTGGAAGGCGGATGAAGAAGAAGAAGTGGAAGAAGATAAAGGAAGAGTTATGATATCTTCTTCAAGGGTCACTCTGTTGGTAATGTCTGTTCCTCAACCTGCCGCCATAGATGCTGCCCAGAATCTCAAGAAGTTCGCAAAATTGTAACTCCTTAGTCCTTTGTTCTACATAGTCTTCTTCATCAAGTCTAGTTTATTCACACCAAATTTCAGCTAAAATTTCAATCGAGAAGTGAGTCAAATGATTTTTTGAAATATAATGTGTTGCCTAACTACGCAGTTATCTTCAAAAATTCATTTGACTGCCTTCCCGATTGAATGTTTAGTCGAAATTTGGTATGAGTAAACTAGACTTAACGAAGAAGATTCTCAAAAGTTTCATCAAATTATTTCACTGTAAACCGCTTCAAATGGCGACAGACGGAAAGAGCCTCCTATAAAAGGGCTTATTTGCACTTTTTATAAAAGTTCGAAAGCTTATTTGATAGTTCTCTTGGTTACATCAATCTTGAAATGAACTAATTGGAATCAGTGAATCACTTGTTTCAAAAGCGACGTAAAGTAGGGCTTATGAAAGCTCCTACTTGTTATGCTTACAATCCAATGCGGGTTATCAAATGTTATGAATTAATAACAGTAGAATTGAAGAATTTTTCTGATTGTAAGAATGATAGTACGAAGAACGCAGAGCTTTTGGATGCGGAAGAAGAAAAGTGAGAAGATGAATCGTTAACCCTACTTATTACACTGTTCAGAATATATATAATACATGCTAAAGAGAACTAAGGCCCAATATAGGAAATAAAGGCCCAAAATTCTAAAGAATGAAAAACAGCTCAATGGTTTATTCTTGATACGCTCCCTCAAGAGGAGCATAGATGTCCATCATGTTCATCTTGACTGCAAATTCATTGAAAAGAGGATTTCCAAGTGCTTTAGTGTAGATATCTGCAAGTTGAAAATTATTCTTAATATGAGTCAAAGATATTAAACCAGAATTATTTTTTTCTCTAATTAAATGACAATCTAATTCTATATGTTTTGTTCTTTGATGTTGGACAGGATTATGGGCTAAATGAAAAGTTGATTTATTGTCAGTATGAATAGTAATGGGTAAAGCAAACTGAATATGTAAATCACAAAGAATATAGTATAACCACTGAGCTTCACAAACTGCATTGACAGCAACTCTATACTCAGCTTCAGTAGAAGATCTGCTTACAACTTGTTTTTTAGATTTCCAAGAAATTAAAGAGTTACCAAGATAAAAAGCATAACCAGAAACACTTCTTCTAGTGTCTATACAAGAAGCCCAGTCAGAATCAGTATAACCTTGAATACAAAAATCAGAAATAGATGAATAAAAGAGACCTTTACCTGGAGAGTTCTTAAGATATCTTAGAATCCTATGAGCTGCACTCATATAAATGTCAGTTGGAGAAGAAAGAAATTGACTAAGAACTTGAACACTATAAGCAATATCAGGTCTAGTAACAGTTAAGTATAATAATTTGCCAATTAATGTTCTATAAGGTTTAGGATCATTCAAAACACCTTCCTTTTTAGAAAATTTTAATTTTGGATCCATTGGAGTAGTATAAGGTTTAGACTGTAAATAACCATATTCATTAAGAATATCAAGAGTATATTTTCTCTGACAAAGATTTAGACCTTTATCAGATCTGGCCACTTCAATACCTAGGATATATTTTAGTTCACCTATATCTTTAATAGTAAATTTTTTATTTAAAAAGGTTTTTACTGCGTTAATTTCATCCATGTTATTTCCAGCAAGAATTATATCATCTACATATATGAGAAGAGCAGTAAAAGAATTGTTATTAGATTTAGTAAATAATGAAAAATCAGCTTTAGATTGTGTGTAGCCAAAGGATTTTAGAGAATCAGAAAGCTTACAGAACCATTGTCTAGAAGCCTGCTTAAGACCATAAAGGCTTTTAGTGAGTTTACAGACCCTGTTATCAGTAACAACTAAATATCCTGGAGGAGGCTGCATAAAAATATTTTTATTTAAATCACCATGTAAAAAGGCATTGTTTACATCCAATTGATGTAAGAACCAGTTTTTAGCACTAGCAATAGCTAAAATAATTCTAACATTAGTAATTTTGACAACAGGAGAGAAAGTATCAAAATAATCAAAACCTTCTTCTTGAGTATAACCTTTAACAACTAATCTTGCTTTATATCTTTCTAAAGAACCATCAGGTTTTAGTTTAGTTTAAAAACCCATTTACAGCCTATTATATTTTGATTTGAAGGTGGAGTAACTAAAATCCAAGTTTTATTCTTTTCAAGAGCTTGAATTTCTGTTAACATGGCATTTTGCCATTCAGGAAATTTGACAGCTTGTTTGTATGTTTTGGGTTCAGTAATTTTAGAGAGAGCAGCAATAAAGCAAGAATGAGAAGTACTTAATCTATTATAGGTTATATAATTTTGAATAGGATATCTAGCTAAATTACAAGAAGAAGAGGATGGGGAAGTACATGCAGTGATAGAATTAGGTAAATCATAAGTGTAATCTTGAAGATGAATGGGTAAAGATCTTACCCTTGTTGATTTTCTGTGAGATTGATCTTCTAGAATAGAAGGATTAGTCTGTAAAGACTAGAATCATTGAAATTGGTAGAATCATGAGAATTGTTAAGATTAATTTCCTCATTAATTTGATTTTGTAAGTAATCTGTAGAAACATTTGAATGTATATTGTAGTTATATGAAGAGAGATCATTAGTTTCAAAAAATGTGTTATCAGAATGAGTAGAGTTAGACAAATCAGAATTGTTTTTATGAGGAAAAATCATTTCATAAAATGTAACATTTCTGGATATAAGAAATTTATGATTGGCAATATCATATAGTTTATAACCTTTAGAACCTAAAGGATAACCAACAAAAACACATTTGACAGCTCTTTTATCAAACTTTGATCTATCAGCAGTTAAAGTAGAAACATACACAAGAGATCCAAAAACTCTTAAATGAGAATAATCAGGAACTTTATTATATAACAATTCATAAGGAGATTTATTATTAAGAATAGCAGTAGGTAATCTGTTTATGATATGAACATCAGCGAGAATACACTCAGACCAAAAAATAAGAGGCAAACAAGATTAAAATAAAAGAGATAGCAACTTGAAGAATGTGTTGATGTTTCCTTTCAACTCTAGCATTTTGTTGAGGAGTTTCAACACATGAAAGTTGATGAATAATGCCATGAGTATTATAAAAATTTGGAAATATAAATTCAGTACCATTATCAGTTCTAATAATTTTAATTTTAGTATGAAACTGAGTATTAATGAGATTGTAAAAATTCATCATATGAAATTTAACTTCAGATTTGGTTTTCATCATAAAAACCCAAGTACATCTAGTATGATCATCAACAATGGTTAAATAATATCTGAAACCAGAATAAGATTGAACCCTAAAAGGACCCCATACATCCATATGAACAAGATCAAAAGCATAGGAAGCATAAGAAGTACTATCAGGAAAGGGTAAACGTTTTTGTTTAGCAAAATGACATATATCACAAAGAATGTTTTTATTCATATGAGGATGAGAAGTACAATCAACAATAGATTTTAGTTTGTTGAAAGGCAGATGGCCTAGTCTATAGTGCCAAACATCATTTTTATTGTCTAAAGACTGAATATTAGTAGAGTTGACAAGAGACAGTTTATTGGAAAGAAAAGGTTTAGAAGTATTGTAGATATAAAGTCCACTTTGAAGATCAGCATAGCCAATCATTTTGTTGGTGAGCAGATTCTGCAAAGTATCATGATTAGAAGTAAACTGAACATAAATATTCTCATGTGAAACAAGACTAGATATAGATATAAGATTAAAATTAAACTGACGAACATATAATACATTGTGAAGAGTAAAATCATTATTGATTTTGATATCACCTATATGAGTAGCATTAATGAAAGAACCAGTAGGTAATTGAATATTAATAGATATATGTTTAGGTGAAGAAGTATATAAACTGAAATTGTGAGTCATGTGATGAGAAGCACCAGTGTCAAGAATCCAAGTAGAAGATTTAGCAGTAGATAAGAAAGCAGAATGATTACCTAGAAACAAAGAAGCATCAGGTGAGTGATCATGTGGTGAGACATCCATAACAACATTAGCAGAAGCAGATTTATGGCATGTTCAGGATTGACCTTCTGGAAGCTTGTGAAGGGGCCAATATCTAGAACTTCCCACATCTCATCATGCAGGGCACAGAGATGTGCTTTCATCCGGATCCTCCAGTCATCAAACTTAAGATCTGAAAACATAAGATTCTTGGACAAGGAGTGATCCATTATATCAGATAGAAATGAGGTAAAACAGAAAAACAAGTGGATCTTTGTTCAACAAATAACCTAAGAGATTATTAGAACAAGGAGGCTCTGATACCACTTGTTGGTCCCGGTTATACTGGATACAGTCTAGAGGGGGGGGGGGTGAATAGACTGTATTGGTTTTTAGCTTTTTAAACTAAGTACCAGATTTACAGAATAGCCTGTTCTGTTGAAAGAACAGACTGGCAGCGGATGGGGTTCTGGTAGGGAGTTCTGTTAGCCTCAGAGAAGCAATAGGCAGAAGCCCTTCTGTTAACTCGTAGAACAAGTTCTGTTGAACACAGATACCAAGTCCAAGGAGTTATACAGTTCTAACTAAGTGCAAGTATTAAAAGCAGTAAGTAAACGACACCAGGGATTTTTATAGTGGTTCAAGGAACAACTCGTTCCTCTAATCCACTGTTCCACTAAGCTGTAAAAACTGCCGTTTACAAAGCCTTAGTCCTAGTACTTAAGAAGCACTCCACGTCTTCTTCAAGCCTAGATGTGTCCTGGGATGCACTGCCTGGCTTCCTTTAACACTGGTCCTTTCACTGAGTTTCCTTGAAGTATCACCACTTCACTACTCCAGTTATTTGGACGTCCTTCTTGTAGCAAGAAGAGTTTCTGTTGAAACTGGGGTTCCTCCAACTAGCTTCGTTACAAAAGATTTGTATGTGATGAGCTTGAAGAGTTGAAGAACACTTGGAACTTTGCTTGAGTTGGAAAGAGTATTTTTCCAACTTCTGCCTTCTCTTGTAGAGGATAATAAGTTTGAATCTCAAGGAGGCTTTTTGCTTTTCAGAGTTTGAATATCTTGCTTGTGGTTAGCAAAGTTGTAGCAAAGTTATATCCAAAGTTGTCCGGTTGTTCTTCGTAGTGTATCTTTTATACTGAGGTTGTCTTCCCGTTGGAGGAGTAGGAGGACAACTGCATTTAATGCGCGATCAGTTGACTTGACTAGTAGAGCCCGATAAAGTTGGCGGGTTACTATTTTGGGATAAAGTATTCCTGACATTGCGGCCAATCATCTGCAATTACTCTACGTAGCATGGGGTGCATTAAATGAGCATTTAATGCATGCACTGTAGCTTTTCCGTTTCATACTCCTAGCCGTTGAAGGAATCTTTTAGTTGACTTCCCGGTTCTTTGAAAATCTTCTAAGTGTC